AAATTGTAATTCATTCCACAAACCATTGACTTATGGCGGTATGATAATTCTCCTTGTCTTTTCATATAAGACTGTTCAAGTTCAATGTTTCTCAACCTTTTTTCATTATCACTCCTCTACAGAACTTCTTCAGATAGTATTTCCTCTCCCCGCCCCCAGGAAATTTTAATGCTACACTATACTATATGTTATGTACTATATGTATATGTGTGTGTGCTTTATTTTTATTTTTTATTGACTTCAGAGAGGAAGGGAGAGGGACAGAGAGAGAAACATCAGTGATGAGAAAGAATCATTGATCAGCTGCCTCTTGTACACCCCCTACTGGGGATCGAGCCTGAAACCCCGACATGTGCCCTCAACCAGAACTCATTGAACCTGGGACCCTTTAGTGCGTAGAGCCAACGCTCTACCCACTGAGCCAAACCGGCTAGAGCTGTATATATGTGCTTATACATAAAATATTCTAAGGTTTTGCACCCTAGAAGTTTTCCATGGTTCTGGGACCCACTTTCACCCCCTGGGCGGGGTCTAATTGCCTCCACTGGAATGCATGCTCTACCCCGAGTACCCCGCCTAACTTCCTCTCCTCTCTTCTCCCTTTTGGCCATTACACTCACCTCCTTTCCATTCTTCAAACAGGCCATGCTTGCTCCTGCCTTGGCACCACTGCACTGTTCTCAGCTGTTCCCTCTGCCCAGATCAATGTGCACCTTGATCATCTCAAGGCCGGCTCCTCGGAGCCTCATTCTCTATGTCATCTCTACAAGGGAGCCTTTCCCGGCCACTCAGCCTGAACTCCACATGACATCGCTCCGCTTGGATTCTCTGCATTGCACTTATCCCCGCTGATCTGTCATAATACAGTCTTTATTGTCTGGTAGCCCGAAATGGAAATGAAAACCCCCAAAGATCAGGACCTCTGTCTTGCTTAGCTCAATCATCTACAATGGTTCTTGTGCCCTAGCTGGTTTGGCTCACTGGATAGAGCGTTGGCCTATGGACTGAAGAGTCCCAGGTTCGGTTCCGGCCAAGGGCACATACCTTGGTTGTGGGCACATCCCCAGTAGGGAGGGTTGTAGGCTCGATCCCCAGTAGGGGGCATGCAGGAGGCAGCCGATCAATGATTCTCTCTCATCATTGATGTTTCTATCTCTCTATCCCTCTCCCTTCCTCTCTGAAATCAATAAAAAAATTTTACGAAAAGAAAAAAAGAATGGTTCTTGCCCCGTTGGAAGCTCCCAAGAAGAAAAGTTAATGGATAAATACTCAGTTCAAATTGTCTGTTTTAAAAAAAAAAATGCCACTGTTGTGGACCTGACCCTGTCTAACTGGCCTGTGTGTTACTATTTTAGAACAGGTCAAAACTGGCTGGAAAAGTCTTCTATGTTATTTGCTTGGTCTTCCCTTTTGCGATGGAATCTGCACTGCCTATATACTGTATGTTCATCTATCTGTGCTTTACACATAAAAAGAGTAAGACTTCTCACCTCCACCCCCTCATCCCCCACCTTGCCAATGAATCATTTCCACCTCCTTGAGAGGTGATGTCACACTGTTGAAAATGCAGAGCAAGCCACCTCCCTCTCTTGCTCCCTTGTCTCTCATTGGTTGGTTTTTCCCCCC